GAGAGAGAGAGAGAGAGAGGGGAGAGAGAGATGGGGAAGAGGGCGTTAGGGAGCTAAGCTAGCATCAAAGAGGCTAGGGCGCACGGGCCAGCACAACAGGAATCAGTGCAGTGATGTGTGCGACATACTTTTCAAACACGACAAAACAATTCCCTTCCACATCCATGAGGAAGGAGGACAGGGGGTGAGGGAGTGGCTGACAACAGGTGCTTACTCGAGGGATACCAACTCGACGCTCCTACATCCACCTGTCCAAAGGAGACAAGGGAGGGCAAAACGTGTGGGGCTCCCCAACTATGGAGTGGGCGATTCTGTCACTGGTGTTGGCCGGCGGGAGCTCAGGGGGGGGTTGGACATCACGAGGAGCTTGGGGTTCTGGGCAGGCGTGTGGTTCGCTGGGCTGAGCCCCAGTAGCATAGGAAGCGGCACGACAGTGCGCTTGTTTCTTTTTTCTCGATTTCCCAAAAGAACGTCGTCATAAACCGACGTCCATGCCAGGTGGAATGACGTATCCAACGATCCAACAAACAGATGTGTTCATGTGCAGCACTCTTTCATTTGTTTTCTAAATTTCCCGCCAATCTCTTCGTTCAACGAGTAACACGTTCTTCATTGCACTGCCAGCTTCTCCAGATCTGCATGCATGATACTACCGCCTTCCCCCCAATAGAACCTACGGTCATTGTCGCTGCCCCTAGGCTGGAAGTTACCCCAAATACACCTATAATCACCGTATGCTCCATTCGGGGGAGGACAGTACAGTCAACTAAAAACTACTCTCTGCGCTTTGAACAGATCACCACAAGAAACCCTTTAAAACCACCTCCACCAAGGTGGATAGATCGCAACACTCTTTCCAAGAGTGCTGTGTGTGTGCGTGTGTGTGTGTGTGTATGGTTTTCTCTTAGACAAGGACCTGGCAGAGCCCATTGAATTCCGTAACAGGCAAAACACCCGACCCCAACACTCCAAGGAACAGAGGGGTTACGCTAGCCAGGTGATTTGGGGAGCACAAACCCAAGTGCAAGGTTCCCCAGATCTGTGTGGTTGGGCGGAAAGCACCCACGCGTCTGCCCACTTTATTGCATTTGAAATTGCCTGAGGTAACGAAAACAACCACACCTCAAGAGGGCCTCTTGCTCCTCCAGCTGAGTACCCTACCCCTACCCTGAGTTAACGAAAACAACCACACCTCAAGAAGGCCTCTTGCTCCTCCAGCCGAGTACCTACTCCTACCCTTAGTTAACAAAAACAACCACACCTCAAGAGGGCCTCTTGGTCCTCCAAGCTGAGTACCCTACCCTAAGTTAACAAAAACAACCAAACCTCAAGAGGGCCTCTTGCTTCTCCAGCTGAGTACCCTACCCCTACCCTGAGTTAACAAAAACAACCGCACCTCAAGAGGGCCTCCTGCTCCTCCAGCTGGGTACGTTACGACCTAGATCTTTTTTTGTTTCTTTTTTTTTGCCCTACAACCTAGACCTACTAGAAGGAACCATGGAACAAGAACTCTTCAGGTGGGCTACCACATCTCAAGAGGGCCTCTTTACTGCAATAGGTCTTGCCTTTGTCTCGCTATTTGCTTTACCTTTTTCTAACACTTCATATGTACGGCCCAGACTCCTACGGGAGGCAGCGGTTGGGAATCTTGGACACTCGGCGAAACCCTGATCCAGCAATATCGTGAGAGTGAAGTGCCGCTTTCTCTGATGGAAACTCTACTCATCATTGGCACAAGATTTACCCTTGGGTACGAGCAAAGATCTTTTTCTATTTTCAGAGCAATTCGTTTTTCGTATAGACGAAGTTGGTCAAGCTTTGGGCCACCCTGGCCCATCAAGTGCTCGACCTCTTGCAATGAAGATCGCATGTTCTACCTCGATAGATTTTGCGCCCAGCTGAATACCCTACCTTGTGCTTAGACCTTCACAGCTTCTGGTGGGCACATGCCAACATACTGATCCTTCATACTGAAACCTTTTACACTCAACTGAACCGATCAACGCAACTCGTCGGGATATTCTCCCACATCCATCCTCCCCTCCCCTCCTGTTCCGAACATCAAGGCCATGCAACACCCATTTGCACTGTGCATGTGTGCACAGGAGTAGTCATTGTACGTTTGTCATAGCGTCATCGTACTAGGCAGATCGTTTATCCAAATCCTTATCCACAACCTTATCCACATCATTCTCCACATTATTATCAACATCATTCTCCACATCATTATACGCATCATTATCTAGATTACTAAGAGTACAAGGAGATTGGACAGTTGTGGTGGTGTGCAAGTGAGAGAGGTTGCACCTCCTGACATGACGTGACGTGGCGTTGCATATGGTGCCCGCCATTTGTGCCACTTGGTTTCATGCTGGGCGATGCAGGGTTGGAAAGCGCTGAGAAAAAAAACACGGATTGCCTGTTTTCCTCGAGCGCCTCTAGGGACTATCGCCCTCGTGCCTGCCCAGTGCGAAGCGACCACTGCGAAAAAAAGGTGCAATGGTTCTTCTTACACTGGCTGTTCACTGCGCTTTAAAGAACGAAAGAAAGAAAAAAAAGTGGAACAGCACACACAACTTCATGCACTATTTCACCCAGCGCTTGGCGACCCAGCTCTCTCTCTCTCTCTCTCTCTCTCTCTCTCTCTCTCTCTCTCTCTCTCTCTCTCTCTCTCTCACACACACACACACACACACACAGAATCACACACAAGGTCGCATGCACACTGCAAACGATCGTGCATTCTTTTTTTTTTCCACAACGTTGCACGGCCTTCTCACAACCTCCCAGATCCCTGGCAATGGCATCATGTGCTATCCATCAATGGCGAGCAATGGCACGTCGATTGTTCGTTCGACTTTGTTGTTGTTGATTGCAACAACAATCTACACTCGGCATAACATCATGGGGTTCCATTACCAGTAGCAGTGGAGATCTCATCCACGCCATTGATGTCCCACAACCTGATTTTTAGATCACAAAAATTCAGATTTCTCAAATTCTCAAAACATATGAACAATAGTTGAAAGGAAGACCCACCTCTCCGTCAGTACACAACGGCGATGGAGCATCAATAAGATGCAAACAGGAGTCATCGCCGCACACAAATGTTTAAGCGTATGTCCGCTCAGTGTGAAATGCAACAGCTTGAATATCCTTTTGTCGAGCACCTCCTCAATCTTGGCCAATACATACCACGCTGCACCGCATTACATTCCCGTCCCCCGCACCAACCCCCCCCCCAAAAAAAAAAGATGTCAGACCACTAAAAATAGACGCATGGTGACATGGCAATCAAATTGACTAAATATAAATAAATGTGCGTGTGTCTGGGCACTCATCTGAAAAATTCTGGACAGTTGCTAACTCATTCATCACCTGAAAACAAACGTCCAGCAATCCAATTCATGCAACGGTACTCCAGTACCAGTGCATTAACGGATGGCGGAGTGTTACTTTTTGCACAGGTACCCCATCCATCCATGCACTGGCATGCCATCCATGATGTCGAAACAATTGAGAAATTACTTTGGCAACGATCTTGCCTAATTTACACCAGCTTCTCAACCCATGCAAGCTCGCAATTCATCACACCAAGCTCAGACACACGAAACAAGAATATGAGATTTTGAAGGATCATTATAACAAAAAAGATGTAGAGATTTCAAATTTTATTATTATTTAAAAAACAAAGAGCAATGACACCGATCCAACTTGTATACAGGTGGCAGCTATGGCTGCCCTCAGCTCTCCAGGTAAGCCTCTCTCTCTCTCTCTCTCTCTCTCTCTCTCTCTCTCTCTCTCTCTCTCTCTCTCTC